GTGAACGGATTTTACACACCCCCCATAGCGGCTGTCAATTTATTTGTTTACTTTTATTTTCCGACAGAAACACAAAAACATAAGCAAGGCTTGATTATGTAGCCCAGTGGAACGATGAAGACTCTCACTTGAAATTTTATATTGAAAAAGATAAGTTTCTGGAGGTAGGAGGTGAGCTTTCCGTCGCTGGACAGGCCGCTGGACATTCCTACCTCTCGGGATCACACGCATCAGCTGTTAGCCAGTGAATTTGGAACAGACCTTTTCAATTTCACTTTAAAGTGGAACAGAAGTTTCATATTTTGAAACACGACGCCATCTGTTGGTCACTGGGAATATTTCACTTCACTATAACTGATTTTTTAGCTTTGAACCTCCCCTTATATATAAACGATATAGGGTAAAGTCTTCGGCATTATTAAACCTCCTAGGGATAGCTGACGCGACCAAAGTCGATATTCATTTTCAATCGAAATGGCGTATTGAATCCTATGTGGACATTTCATAGGCCTGCGAGAAGGCAAGCAGGTGTACAAGCTTTTATCCTAGCAGATGAGCCTGTTCCCAGGCTTTTGGCATTAATCAACCTGTCTGAAGGATGCGCTCCGATTCAACTTCCATCCGGAATCGTAGTGGCGTAATGAATGCATATGTGGCCTATACGATGACTTGCAGTGGCCAGCCAACGTTCAAGCCAGTACTTTTATCCTCCCAGACGAGTTCGGTACCTATTAACGCATACAGGATATCGACATTGAGCAAGTGCAAAGGTGGTCTCAACTACTCCATCTTAAGTGTTCTATAGGCTTCAACTACTTGAGCAGCTAACCGCTTTTCGTAGTAATTATTGGGCCCAGGTCAGCAAAAATGGCCTAAGACTACTATCGAAGTACTACTCAAGCAACAAAGCAAAAAATGAGACAAGCTGCTGAAAGGCGAGCAATCGTAGAAGAGAAGCGGAACATGTTGCCGAAAGACAACTGATTGATGAGCTCTGATCATGTCATAGTAAAGTTGCCAGATGTGTGGGTGATGGGAAGACAGAATTTTCTGGGGACACAGAAATCGTACTCGATCTAGGCTATTCTTCATGTAGACAGGGAGTAAAGCCAAGGTGAACATGCATAACACATTTCATCAAAGTCATCTTCCCTCGCCAAGACGAGAACGGACCTCTGGGTTCGTTGTCAGTGTGGAACACCCAATAAACGAACTGCCAAGGTCAGGTAAGAGGTAATATCAAAATTCAAAATGGTAGGAGGTTCAAAAAAAAANAAAAAAAAAGAAATGGGCTGCCAGCAAATCTCCCATTTGCAACCTCCCGGAGGCGAATCTACCGCTCCCGAATAAGAACTTCGAAGAGTCAATGAAACAAAGAACTAGGTAGAGCTGTAAGAATGTCAGAAGTGACGAAAACAACGGATAACAGAGGTTGATAAACCTTCGGCGGATTGAACGTTGCCTCTCGGCAATCCGTAGTGCTTCGGAAAACACCAGGTGGTCGTCGTGTCGTCATCGTTCCTCGTGACCATCTCTCATTCGCATTATGCATTTTGACCAGGGGAGAAGTGGGAGAATAAGCTAAATTTGGCTTGGCTAGATCAGGAACAAAGAATAGTGAAAGTAAAGCCAAAGATAGGGTGTTGTACTAATTGCTAGGTTGATAGCCACCAACTGCTGCATTGATTTTGTGCTTTCAGTTCTCCCTGGGACTCATAAAGCGAGTGTAAGCAGGTGATAAATCCAAAATATGAGGCAACTGGCACTCGCCAGCAATAATGGCTGACGTTTGTTATCGTTGCGGTAGGCTTTATGAGAATTCGCGTAGAGGTAATTTCTACAGCTGTTGACGCCCCTTGAATGAATTCCGAGCTGAAGACACCTAAAAATTTACGCTTTTTTTTGGAATGAGGCTGCATTTCCAAGATAACTTATATTTTATCAAACGGGTTGTCTAATACTCATCTCAATTTTTGTTTCCTCAGATTTAGTTCAAATCTGAAAAGAAAGTCCGAAAAAGTAGAGAGGTTTCCATGTGAATCGTTCACATCAACCATTAGAGGCTGAATTGGCAAGTTTCTGATGTTATTCTTTTCGAAGGACGGCTTTCAATACTGGTTAATACTTCCTAGTTCTACTTGAGGCCTGTTAAATGGTTCATACTGCACCGTATTTTGGTCTTCGTGAAACCAGCCAATCTTATTTTTTCTATTCGCTCAAATAGGCACTAAGTCTGGAAGCACCGGTGTTGGCGCTGATTGAAGAGAAGCACAGGGGGCCGCAACCTTCTTTTGCCACTTCAATAGTCATTATTTTTTCAAAGGAAAATCCACTTAATCTCCGATTGTTTGTACTTTTTAGATCCACACCGGTGGTCTGAGGACGTGCTGGATTGTAGAATTCGTACCAAAAGGCAGCAATATCGGCCTGAATAACGACAGCTTCTTAGGAACCACCTTACCCGGGGTTCTTCTAAGGAGCTCTACATACTGTAGGTCATTCAAATACGGTGGATAATCAGTCTAAAGCGATAAACAAATTGGTTGTGAAGTTTTATTGAGTAAAACTGATGAGGTTTGGACAGTTCCGTTCCAGTTTCATTCTTCCAACTTCAAGGAATAGCGTCCGCTAAAGTACTGACAGGTGGCTTTAGAACCGAGATTGGACCTAATTCGGAAGGAATTCTCATAAAAGTAGTTGTGTTCTTTCACGGTTAGTATTAGTAAACAAATTAGAAAACGGCGACTATAAAAACCTCACAACTGTAGGATTAGATGGCTTGAAGGGATGGTAAGGATTTATACCAACGTGCCGTTGCTGAATAACAACTTCATAGCACCTGACTGGTTAGTTAATTCATAACTGATTAAATTAATCATGGGGTAACAACAAATTATGTATCCCTGCTTAGTAAATAAGCTAAAACCCCCGCATTACTGAAAACTAATCCGAAAAACGTTACCACAAATATCACTGATTACTTTTTTACTCTCTTAATTCAGAATAACAAAAAGTGAGGCTCTAAATTGTGACTAGTAAGACCTCGGCCAGGTCCGAACTTTCGTATTTGGAAACATACTATTCATGGAAGAACATTCTTGTACTGAGTCAAGACCTCTGCAGTAGTTCCAGGTTGAAGCTGTCCTGCTCCACCTATCCTACAACAGAACTAAACTTTAAACGCTGTCGTAACATAAGTTCTTCTAAGAAGCCTCCCGAAGGCGTATTCTCGTCCGCAGCAAATTTCTCGGACCAGAAAACTCGTCCAACGCACTTTTGGAGAGTTGGAGTGATGCGGGCAAATCGTTCGCTAAGATGAGCTTTTGTCCCGTTGGAAAAAACAATGAATAACTCATAATCGAAAGACGAGCTGTTGTCGATCCTACAATATATCGCCCCATTCTGGATAAATAACTAGTCGACAGTAACTAATTGAATGGTAAAAAGCCACCTGAGAGAACGGTATATGCACACCCACTTCTTCAGAATGTTTGCACAATTCGCATTTGAATTACTTCTCAATTCCGAGTAAACACAATGAAGTCTGTTCGTTGCTACGACCTGGACCAATAAAGGGAAACAGGGTCCGGGAATTTCTCCCTTGTCACGGCGTCGCACACGCCGCACCCGCCGCGTATCGCAGGATTGCGATGGAAGATTGGAGCGCGCAATTTGTGAGGTAGAAAGTCCTTTAATTATTTGAATTGGCTGGCCGCTTTCTTCAGTTTCAATGCAGTCTTGATCGCCGCTTACATAAGAGGAGTCATTTTAATTAATCAAGTCTAATAAACATGAAAACGAAAAAGAAACAGAAGAAAAAACGATTAAATCCAATAAAAAAGCAACGCAATCAACGAAAAATACCGCGTCCTATCGATTGGCGGGGACGGGGTGAGTACGGTAGTTGCAGTGACATTTGCCGCATGCCGCAAGGGAGAATGCCGCGATAGGGGAGAAGTTCCGTTACCCAGGGAAAACATGCTCCCAAATCTGAGTTTCTATTTTTCCTTCATTCCCACTCAGATGCTGAGGTATTTTATTTTCAAATTTTGATCCCTTTTTAGAACTCCACAATGCTTGGAGACGCATCCAACCCTTTCTTTTCCTGATCAATATTCGTCTAAATCAAGCATGCGAATCAGTAATCGTAGGATCAATTCTGTGAACCTGCTGTTGAACCTCAACAGTTGAAGCGCACATTATGGAAAAATCTGAAGTGTCACTCCTAAAAGAAGCCCTCCATTGAAATATGAAAAATTTTCGAAAAACAAGAGCTCAGAGAAGCCTTTAATCACATATTTCTTTTTAACATACATAAACAAACATCCATGGGTTATGAAAAGCTTGTGAAGTTCTCAAATTCCTTCTCAGAAGGAGACTCAATCAAATCTTAGAAATTGAGGGTGTAGGCGATCTATTTTGTCAAAAGTCATTTTTTCAATAAAATTTATATGAAAATATTCTCAATATTTGTACAAGATGAAAAAGTCACGAACACAACACTATCATTAAACAAGGTGAAAAATAGCAAAAGATGAAAACAAGGGGAAGAATCAATCGCAGTTGCTCAAACTATAACTACATCGAATTTGTATTTTATACAAACTAGCAGAGGACTAGTAACTACTTTTCTCAGAGCACCCTAGGAGAACTACAATTCGACAAAAAATTAGTTTCTACTTCATAAGGTACATAATAAAGCGAATAAAATGAAAACAAAGTAAAATACATATTGGGCGGAAGGAAAATGTTGAAAGGCTATAGTGGTTAGAAAATAGCAAGACTGACCACATTACATTGTTTTAGCAGGATAACTCCTCAAGACGTCCCTCAGTGCGAATGCCATGACCATTACGTGAGAAAAGGAGAAAAGGGCAGCACTTCAATCTTCCAAAAACCTACTCCACAATGCGGATTGGTCCACGAAGGAGAACGTCATGGAATCAAGCTGAAAATATGATAAAGTACGCCACATACAGCTTCCATAGAAAGCTAATTTTCTAAGCAATTCGCCAGAAGTTTCCTGTGGTTAGAAAAGGTGGGTTTGTAAGAATCAATCGCCTATACTTATGCGAGCTTGATTCAGGATAAAGAATGCACACACCTCCTGCTGTATCTGATCGGCTTAAATTGGACGTCGCGATGTCTGATGACGGATCGGTAAGGATCCAGATTTCAACCTGAAAAAAGCAATCAAACTGAAGACAAGCGTGAATGGATCAATTCTTTCCCTAGACTTAACAAAAATGGATCCCCGTTGATGAAGCCTATGGTTACATCAGAATGAGGGGCAAATGAACGCGATAGAGGTTCGGGTTCTATTTCGAATGCACAACAACAGCTCTTGAAAACAAATCCTGAGAAAACTGCCCATATGTAGAAGGGATTGGCATTGTAGGCACGGATAAGTGGATTCTTACGTATTAACACATTTAAAGATTTCCGGTAATTCGATGACCGCATGAAGTTTACAAAATTGCAATTCTGAACCAACTTCAAATAAAAAAACGTTTAGAAGTTGTATCAACGTTAGGGTTAAAAAGCAAAGAAAATAAAAAAAATATAGAGAGCCAATGAATTGGAAAAGTATATTTACAAGTCGCACACGGACGTACCGTTCGTAAACCTCTTTCCATCGGACTTAAAATGTGAAATCCAGCTGGATTGTATGTCTGCTGATTCTCCAGATTCAGAAATTCGTTGAGCTTTTTCATCTAAATCCAACACTTTAAAAACTTGTACCTATTTCAATACTACTATTCAACACCAACTTTCTTTTGGTAAATGGTATCGGATACTAAACGAGAACAGTAGCACGTCGCACACCCTAAAACCGTTTCGAGAATCGTAGCGAAGCAAACCTAGAAAAAAAGTTAGAAAGAATCGAGGGTGCAAACGTAAACGAGTGAAGATTGCTCGGAGTAAAACTAGCCAAGATAGCTTTTAATAATATTCACTTGAAAAAATTCAAAAAATTACTTCATAGTTCCTAGGTTTAGTGATGTCTACCCAGAATTAGGGGGTTGGGGAACTACAATCGAGTAATGCGTTGGATTGAAGACAAAATAAAAATGATACTCAATATAAGGCAACATGTAAGAAATATGAAAATAATCAAGAGGGATTTACTGGGTAGAATCTATGTAGTATCAGAAAGAAAACGCACCCATACAAAGCTACAGGGAGGTCAAATCAAACAATAAACACTTTCACTATTTTCCCTGATTCTTTTTTTGCACTCCACTATGTGAACAATGAGTAATTCCATTATCCCGCTGTTTCCATAAAATCAATTCATATTTACAACAAAAATAGGAATCGGAAACGAATGTCATGACAGTTTCACACGGGAATGAGCTAAAGGGACTACTGCGGCCACACGAATCTTCCTCATAAGTAGTAGAAGGAATAAAAATAAACAGGGAGTTGAATATACTTCCCTTTTCTCAAAATAGCTATTGCTGTATGAGGTACATGAAATTGAAGACTATCTTACCTTCTCTGCATCAGCAAATATCGAATTAATCGTTTGAATTGTATTTTCCCATGTTGATTCGGAAATCTGTAACAAATTCTATGAGATCTGATTGAGTTTCGTCATCTTTTCTTATAACCAGTATGACCATTGAACATCTAATTCCGAAATTTATAAATCATTGTGATTCGGGTTTTCTTGAGCAAAGTGGAATTTTCCACGAGATTAAGCAATCAAAACAGGTTGCGCTAGGTGCCATTTCAGCCAACCAACAGATATTCCAGTTGTTTTTGATGAAATAGAAACAAGTCTTCAAATACACGGAAAAAATGAGAGGATCCATATTCCAAAATGGCGTTACACCTCCGATAACCAAGAGCTTACCAAATGATGACACGGTATTTGCTAATTGGGAAATACTGGACACAACAGACTAAAGCCTTGAGCGAAATCCAAATCAGTTCAAAAACCATTAGTGATAAAACCCTCAAAAACTTTCCAGGTTCGCCCAGCTGCGTCTTTTGCTTTACTTTAGTTGTTCGCCATTGAATTCCAATTTATATATGTTAAATTCGATAGAACTAGGAAGGACTATTGGAACGAGAAACCGAAGAGGTGCTTTACATTTTGAGGGAAAAACTTAGGCCTTGCAAAACGCAAAAGTAAAAAAAGAACAGTTGATAAAGCTCTATGAGGATCTATGCAGTTCTAATGCATCCCAAGGGTTACTGTTACCATAAAAATCACGAATAAAAGAGAAGAAATAAAAAAATACTAGAAAACTGAATAAACACAGTTACCTTCCCACGAAATGCCATTGGGAATTGCGTTTCGAAGTGAACATCAAGTCCAAATGAATAATCTCTAGGTACAAATATTTTTCGACATGATTCGAGACGTATAGTCTTCATTTCGTGAACGGTTACCCCATTTTTCGATGGTGCTTGGGGTGGAGAAGCCATCACCATCTGAAATACAGACATTTATATGAACTAGATAAATCAAATGATATAGAAAAGCACCTTATCAAACAGGCGAATAATGCGAACGAATGAAGTTTTGTTGAGGAGAATGGGTTCAACATAAAAACGTCTGCTTGTTTGCAGCGATCGATGCAGTTACATGCAACATTTCTCCAACGAAAAGAAGAAAAATAAAAATGAACATCGAGCACATTGGACGATGGTGTGAAGGATGAGTAACGGCGCGACGTCGCACGCGGCGCGCAGCGCGATTCGAAGGACGGCGGCAGATGCGCTCCAATCGAAATTCTATGGTTTCTTTCGCGCTCGGGTTTTATTCGCACCCGAAGAACTTTGAGGAGAAGGGCCTCGTGGGGAGTGAACTAGCCAATAAGTGTGCTGCCCATGAACTTGAAATTTCTGCTGGGAATATGACCAATGCCTGGTAATCGGCATATGAACTGAGCCCTTATCACGAGGCTTTATTCCCACGCACAAGTACAGATTAGGGAGAGCTATTCTCCTCCCTTATTATTCAACTTCTGAGTTCCCGTTCCCTTATCCATCAGTCTTTGACGTAACCTTTTAGATCGGGTTCACTCATGACAACGCCCCTACCTTACAAGTACGGTATGGTACGGTTTCTTTACATTCAGTGGGTTAGTAGGACTTTCGATTCAATATTAACATTGAGTCTATGACCTCAGAAGTCGCTGGAGAAGTTCACTATTCGATGGTCTACGATCTGATTGTGAGATGAAGACGAAGGTGTGGCGGTTTTCTGAGTGGTTTCCCACCAGCTCCCTTCGTCGTTTCTATTAAGAAAGGTAGTCATATAGGAAGAGTTAAGTAAGATTCCATCAGCCTAAGGTGGAAATCTAGAGTTCTGTTTTCCAGAAATGGGAAACTTGAAATGAAATCCCTACAATGATGGCATCGCTCCGATATCGGAGAGCAGAGAAAGACTCCAGGAGAAGTTGCAGAAGTGGCAGAGTGTGCTGGCGGAAAATGAGAAAAGAAGACCAAGTTTTTCAGCTCCGGGGAGTTCAGGAGCTAATCGTAGACGGGCTTGGAAAGTCCGCCGAAAGTATACAGGGCTTTATGCACTTTGAAAGTGACCTTGCTGCTGATGGCAGCGTTGGCCAAGCTGTAAAGGCTTGAGTAAAGGCGGCATGAAAAAAGTGGAAAGAGTCCAGGACTATCCTCTGCAACCTCGATGATCCTTCAGGGTGCCTAAGCGAGAGATGTACCGAACAGCGGTGAGGCCTATGATGCTCTACGGCAGCACCTGAATCATAGGTAGAGATCATGAAAGCCGGCCTCACCTGTTGAGTGAGGATGTTTGGATCGGCCTGTGACTGGAGTCGGCTGGACTTTTTCAGAACACCCGGGGAGTGATTCAAGAAGCCCGTGTCCAGATGAAGATGAGAGAGCAGATTCTGCTGGTATGGGCATGTGCTGTCACAAGCCCTAAGAACACGCCTTAGAAAGGCAACGGCGTTCAAAGCGAAAGAAAAGCGAACACTGGAAGTCTCAAAGAAGAGATGGAAGGACTTGATTAAGACGGATCTCCCTAAAACGGCAAAAAATAGAAAGAAGAGGAATCAGCTTGAATAGCGCTGCGCCTGAGCGGGATCAACGCTTGGAAAAGTAGGAGAAGAAGAAGAAGCTGTAGCTGTAACATAGCATAGTCCAATCATCACAGCCGTCTTTTCGCCTCCTATTTTTCTGGAATCTAAGAAAACCGGAGCTCGTTTGATTATAGTATCAACAGTAATGGTACGATTCGTAGGTGATTGAATTGGGTGAGTCACATAAAAAACGGCAAATTAGTTTGCCCATAGGAATGTTTGGCTGTGGGTGTCTGTTTGCCGAAATTCCCACCCATTGTTTTGCCCACTTGAATACTTTTCTAGTTGTAATCACACAACTGTAATACTAGCGAGAACCTATGAATTGCTAAGACTCCAAACTTCTTAAAACAAGCGTGGGATCCCAGGTGATGGTCAGTGTGATAGCAATTCGCCCTGTTAAACCAGTTTGTTACAGCACTGGTAAGAACCTCAGCTTGACCATTCCATGTCGGCACGACCGCGAGGAACAGACACCTCTTTGTGGGGTTCAAAAGAAAAAATCAGCGCATATTGGTATGGGCCAAATACTGACACGGACTTAAACAATGTTTTTTTCGGTGAAATTGCTATCCGCTGAGTAAGATGTAGTTGCTTTGGACACAGCTTTGAGCAACAATTATCGTGGTAATTCCTGTGTGCTCCCATTTGGGTACAAGGAGGTGCCCCGGTAGACATGGATAGGTATGCGGGCGGCATTTGGCTGGCAGTAGTGCGAAATGCCAGTATTCATCAGGTGACAAAAAATAAAGTAACAAAATAAACCAGGGGTTCCCCACCAGTTTTCGGTCCATCCTCTCGAGGTTTCTGGGTCTGGGTAGGGTAATGTACACAACAAAAAGAAGTTTTGACGTAAACATTTCCCTAAGAAAACACAGCTCAACGGTGAGGATCCGTTAGAAGACACGGTAATGAAATGGGTATAAATGAATAAACAAATAAGTAAATAAGCAGATAAAGGAGCGATCTTAGTATACAAAAGAAAAGATTTTAGGCAAGTCTCAAAGCGATCAAATGCCGTTTGGGTCGAATCTGAACCATCAAAAGCTTAGGCAGGCTAAGACGCTGAGGCTACTGAGGCTTGCGATGAGCCTGCGGTTCCTCTGATAGAACCGGTCGGATTGCCCGACCACCGCCAGTCTCTCTACGTTTTTGTGGCAGAGTAGGAAAGTCTAGCTAGTGCCGGGTTTTTCTACCGCATGTACCATTCATCCGGCGCTCCTAATCTCATTACAATCCCCATGCGAATGTGTTCTATGGGATCGTATAATTAGTCATAGCGGATGGTTCGCCTCCTAGGATTCCGCGGTGCTTTTGCTAGAGGACATCGATGATATAAGACGCAGGCAGACGGCGTACCGGCAGGCAACAAGACCGACGAAGTTGACTGTCGGAAAGCTCGTCGTGGATCGTTTTCGCGTCGTCTGAGATCAAGAACAGAGAGTGGGATGAGACAGCTATACCACACTCGCCCTTTTCCTACTCTGCCGACTTCACGCCCTCCAGTAGGACCACGGAGACAGCTTGCGAGAAGAGGAAACGGACAGGATAGAAGGTAGTTACCCACCCTGAATTTAGGACTGGCTTTCTAGCTCACCGTCACTGATAGTTCACCCCATCTTCCTACAAATTTCGCAAACGAATATTGAAAAGGTCAAAGGCAATCGTTCAGCTGCTCCGAACTTGCACTTGCCCTCAGCGAGAATAAAAATGAGCCGGTTGCAGAAAAGGGGTCTTTAAAATCGAATCCTCAGCAGTGCACATAAATGGGACGCGTCCGAATCGGCGAACCAAGTAGTGACTGGAAAAAGGAAATGAATACAATTCGGAACCAAAAAATGCGATGGAATCGTTCTTTCCTGGTAACCCCATAAATATAATTGTAAGGTAATTATGATCATAAGAACGCTATCGAGAGAACCAGTCTGCCTTCTGGAATGGTGCCGTTAGCGTAAGGTGTGGTCGAGATGTTCGTGGAATAGGAATTTGCACTACTTTCGAACTGGGAATATGGTGAGCTCGAGCTGTGAGTCGTTTCTGTGAGTTCCCGTCCCTCACATTTTCCACATCTGCTTCATGGGTATGTTACATTGTTAAGCCACGTCGAAGATCTGGTGAGCCGGGGCGATTTTGTGACCTCGGCCTCAACCGGGGCTGGTACTGACCGAACCCCTCGGGACGCTAAATGAAAACAAGAAAGGTCACTGATATCCTGAGCCCCTTGTCCCTTGAGCGAATAGGGTCCACTGGCATACATTGATTTCCGACAAGGACAAGGTAGACATTACTGGTACTCGTTTGAGCTAATCGAACATCAATGGGACAACAGGTGAGAGGTTGCAAACACCCTATCTTTTGATACATTACGTAGGTATTATAATGTTAGCTGCATAATAAACACGAGATATGCAGAATATTACTACACATTGAGCTTCTGTCTGCTCAAATTTGGTAGTATTATTATATTCTGTACGTTTTGTTAGTTTTCTGATTTCTGATTTCGGTGGACTGCGAAGATGTCGAGCAGTATACCTTATGGTTAGTTAAGAGACTTGGTTGATAATCTGTCCCATTTCGAGATGCCCTGCCACTCGATTCCAGTTCAAAATCTGATGTTGGTGTTGGTTTAAATGGTTATGAGCTCTATACAATGACTTGTTGGGGCCAATAGATGTACAAGTAAGGGCATCCATCGCCCCAGACGGATATAGTACCAGTCAGCCGGCCTCACATATGTAGTTGAAAGGCTTGATTGGCATGGGCAAGTGTCAATCTGGGATTCGATGTCCGGCCAATGACTGTGTGATAGTGCACCTGCTGCACAGGGCGCTGCAGCACTTTCGTCCACATAAGTTTTTCTACTGGTAAAATCTTCGCTACCAAACAGTGGTCTCGTAGGTACCCATGTACACTCAGTTATAGGGAAGACTCAACGGTCCGATTCATTTTTGTCCATCAAGTCTTTATTCGATAGCATTGCTGTATGAAATTCGTTTAGTCTTCAAAATTATCCGTAGCTTTCTGGTATACATTGAGAGAAATGAGTTTTCTCAGAACAACCCTATCTTTGGAACCAATAGACCCTCTCGACCAATAGACCTTCACTTACTTCGGTCTTTAGCTGATCACCGCATCATACATATGCCATGAAGTTTTTTAGAGGTGTTTGCCTGCCTAAAACCTGTTCTAGTGTCCCAACGTTAGTCCAAGATTACCGTTTCCCCATTCGGGATGTCTCCGAACTAAAATGATCATTCGACTTGCAACGGTGCCCTCCTCGCACTTATGTTTGGTCTCCCAGACAAAATATGAGCTAGATTTTGGCTGAGACCTCGAGGAGCCTTGAATTTATGAAATTAATCTGGACCGGTGCAT